TTGAGCTTGGAGCGGGCGCTGGCCGGGGCGTCTTCCCGCTTTTCGAAGCCTTCCTCTTTCGCAGCAGGCGCTGGTGGACGAGATCGTAAGAGCCGGTCCTCTCCCTGCGGTCTCTGCAAGGCGAAGGCGCGTCGCTGTCGCCGAGAGCGCTCCTTCCTCGGGCCCCAGGCAGGCTCGACTCGAAGGTGGGCGGAGGGCGCGAGGACCGAGAAGGTGCTGGGCTCGGCCCGAAGGGAAAGGAGTGGGCGGCTCTTCCTTCAGTGGGGATTGGGGGGAATCGGGCTTGGAGTGCCAACAGCGTTTCGGACCAGATCCCGGCGGATTAATCGGGTGGAGTTTGGGGCAAGTTGTCTTTCCAGCGCGCTTGCATGGTCTGGCAGGGCCAAGTGACACGTGTTGGGTCTGTCCTTGTGTCCTCCGCTCTCGTTGGGATCTTCTCCGGAGCGCGCGCGACCTTTCGAGTTGGAGGACGGCCCGCGGGATCGTCGCTCCCGGCGCCGGAGTGTGCCGCTGGCCGGCCTTGGGACTAAGCTCTGAAAGCCTTTCCCTCTTTCGGCGTGGTGGTGGTTCAAAATGGCCTGTCGCTTGCTGTGATCGAAGAGAAGACCTGAGGGGTCTCCTTTTAGCGCTTTAGTCGTTCCGCTCTAGAATCGTTTGGCATCCAGCCCGACCTTACAGGGCAGTAACGCTGAACTTGGTGACCTTCCCGTTGTATTTGGCTACAACTTCCGTTGTCCCTAGCCTGCCCAATGGTTTGATTCGCTTTTTCTGTTAGAGGTATTGTCCACCTTTTCCTCAGGAAATGAAGATGGCATAAGTAATATCCTGTCCTTTAATTGTTGTCAGTAGCTTCGACTGAGAGTGAGTGACTGGCCCACAATCACCTGCTGCCTTATGGTGGACTTGAATTTGGCTCTTCCTAGTCCAGTACCATAACCATTACACCACATTGGCTCTTAATCAGGGGTACAGTAATGCTATTCCCAACTAACACAGCCAAGGGTGATAAAATTGTAATTTAAACGTGTCAGGGATATACCTGAATGGAAGAAACTATGTACTTGGGTGAATGGCTCATTTATATGCAATAGGGCTTAACTGGGTAGTGTCTAGATGAAAGCACTGTAAAATTTAGCATATACTCGTATTTTTGTTTCACAACTATTGGGTATTTTCCATGTATAACAAAATAGACACCATGACTTCTAAGCTAGTTTGACACACAACTGTTACTGTAAGTAAAGGTTTTTGTCCTACCACATATTTTTTAGCTGACCTTTTGCTATCCTGTTCCTATTTTTTTTTTTTTGTTTCTTTCCCCATAATCCGACATACAGCAGTGAGCTTCCTTAATAAAAGTGATGGGAAAACTGCTAACATATGATTTTTATGGTCCTGTGTAGATAAAAACAGGACTGAAAAACAATATAAAATGAAAAATTATTATGTAAATGGGTGTAAAGCAGCAATACACAACTTCCTTGACCTCTGGCACCTGTTTTGCTCTTAAGCTTTGCTGCTGCAGTTCCCAGAAAAGCCCCAGAATGTGTGGGTTCCTCCCATGCTACAGAAACTCTGGAGGCTGCAGAAGTTTTGCTTGTGGGTTGCACAAAATCTGTATATTTGCATAGAGCTTCTTTTTAAAAGGTCACTTATTAGCAGTATGGGAGAGGTTATCTTTCTGTACTGTATTTGGGAAGCAAGGGAGGGGTGCCGGATGTGCAACTCCAAATTTATTTCCTGGAGTTCTAATTGTCTGTAGCCCCTTAATTGCTGGGTATGTGTCTGGTTAAGGATATTTTGCTTAAAATAATATGAACTTGCTCAGGTGTATTAACTGTGTAATTGTTTAGAATTATGTGCATGTGAATAATGCAATAGACATTCTTAGCAATGTTATACCATTAATGTATATCACATATTCAAAGGCCATCATATACAATATACCTTATCTAACTAGGATTAGCATACGCCTTGCAGTATAGGCTAATCTAGTCATTCCTATATGTATCATAGGACCCAGGTGATACACTGGGCCAAGAAAATTGTATTACTCCCCATAATTCAGATGAAGCCTAATAGCAGGAAGTGCATTTTTCATTTAAATTTAGCTTAAATTTGCCCATAGAGAAATAGATCTATCCACAAAAGAATAAAAACAGATCAGAAAATGTATCAAGGAATGTTCAGAATTTTGAAAGTGAGCTTTCTTGTTTTAGTGCAATATGGGACACAGTTGAAAAAGGAACTCTTCTTTTGCTTTTCTCTGTGACTATCAAGCTACTAGAGCTGTCAGTGGCTTCAGGAAATTTCTTGGTATCTGTTCAGAGTTGATGGATTTCATTAAAAAACAGTCTATCCCTATTCCTCCAACCAAAAGCTTCAGAAATAACAATGTCTAGAAAGTTGGATTTGGACCTGGACTTGCAACCTTTCAGTGCAAGCTCACTGGATGGCTTGGGACAAGCTATTATTTGATTCTAAGTTATACTTCTAACTGGATGTATTAGACACCAGTTTTCATAATTCCTCAGCCAGTCTGGGGATTAATGACTATATATTTGTTTGGAGAAGTTACTTCAAAATACTGTCTACCTTATAATTGAAATAGAAATAGACCATGTTGCACAATTAAAATGGGTAGAGGTCCTCAGTTATTATTTGGAGATTTGCCTGTCTAGGTCTTCTGCTCCACTTTAGTTTCCATCTGCTGGAACAAGCCATACTTTTATTTAATCCCCCAACAGCTGCCTGTGTCTTTTTTTTTTTCCAAAGAGAGCCGGAAGAAACTGCAGCTGAATGTTTCCCAGTGTTCTTTTCAAAAAGTCCATACTATGATGTGATCTCTGGGTTATATCTGAGCCTTTTTTATAATGAAGCTAGGCTAAAGAATTTTTGCTCATTTAAAACCAGATGGAGACCAGCTTCACTGAATCTTATTCTCAGGCTTGCCTGCCTGCTTACAGGAAGTTACAGATTTTATAGGAACTATAGTGTCCCATAGAATAATCAGATTTGACAAACTACTTTCTCAATTTCCTGCAATGAAAGAAGTATTGAGGAAGAGGAGGAACTGCATAGCTTTGTCAAGAACTAGGGTTGCTGATTCCTACTCTAATTGTGATTGTTCATGAATTACAACTAATAATAATTACTAAATTTACATGCTGCTCGTTTCCCAGCGACTCTGGGGGGTTTATTTAAAAAACATTTAAAAAACAAAGAACAATAGAGAAAACATAAAAACAGCACAAGACAAAGAGACAAAGATGGCAGAGGGGAACAGAAAGAAGAAAGAGGCATCAACCGTCTCTTTTGGGGATTTTTTTTTCCTGCAAACTTTTGCTGATTCTCTCCTTTGCATATAGGTCTGGGGAAGATGATCCTGTCCAGATCCAGCAGAAATGGTCTCTGCACTCTTCAGAGAACATACTGGTATGGAAAAAGAGTTACTGATTTGAAGGCATATTTACAGTGAAGGGAAATTTTTAATCCCAAACAATACATCCACATTCAGAATTCCTGCTACTCATAATCCTGTCAAAGTGGATGCCAAAAGCTGCTGTCCAGAGCACTTTGTCAATGGAATCTCAGAAATGGTGGCAATAAATAAAGATATCAGAGATTTTTTTATTTGTTAGAACTATCTTGACAAAGTTAGAAGGGTAAAACTCTTGGGTTCAGCTAAAATAATTTCTCTAAGGAGAAAAAAGATGAGATAACTTGTCATTATATGAAGATTACTCAAATGATATTGGAATATCATTGCTGACCTTTCCCCTTTAGGTCCATTTTTAGACAACGAATTTGTTTCTACATTGCTACTATCTTACAGGATTGAAAGAAAGGCAGTAAAGCTCAAAGGTTTTCTTTTTAATTGACCCAGGAGTGTTGATACTGTCAAAAAACTTCTAAGTTACCCAGCTTCTAACCTCCGGCAAGACTAAATCAATTTTATCAAATAACGTAAGTCTTCCAAGAGCTTATCTTAGCCTGTCACCTTCTTGCTGTTCTCCTTTCAAGCCTGTTCCAATGCCATCCTACTATTTTCCTCACTCCCAAGTGGTGCTACAGATTCTATAACCTAATAAAAAGAAAGCCAGACACCTTAACTGAACTTCCCTAAACAACCTTGTTTCAGACTAATTTGCCTTGGCTTCTTGCCCTGATATATATGGACACTAATCTTATCTATAAATGCTTCCTTTCCCTTTTAGCGTGGCTTCTGCCTCTACAGTTCCAGGCTAAGGATACAAACTTAGAGATCTTTTTTATTACCCCTTCAATTTCTCCTTGAGTGGAGGCGAAAGTTAATCAGTAATCTTTGAGCTTCCTGGAAAGCAGAAATCTGCCTCCTATTGCTACTGAATGCAAGAATCCTATGTTCAGAAGTTTAGGCTCTTCTACAAAGATTGAGTGATCACAGTGTAGCAGAGAACAGTTGTTTTTTTTTTAATTGATGTTATATTAGTGGAATACAATGCTAGGTGTAATTTTCTGAGGCTAGCAGTTGGTCACCATGTGGAGGATCGTAGAGTCCTGTGGGAGGTTGCTCTAGTTTTAAGCCTTTAGGGAAGGGATGGGCAATCCCAGCCCCATTTCTGTGATCCTCAGAATAATCCCAGTGGTACCACTGACATTTGGTGACTGGACTGCTGTTTTTTGTTTTCCATTACTGGTTTACTCATGCATTTATGCATGCACAGAGCCTGGAGAGGCATGTTAAGCTTCCTGAAAAGTTTGATCCACGTGCTCTGGTGACATCATGGTCTTGCTGGCCAAACCCATTCTGGCCTTAGAGGCCCAAATGATTTTTTTAAGAAGAAGGAACAATCCAACTGCAAAATGTTTGCTTGTCTCTGCTTTCAGGGAAATGTTTTGCCTGTTTCTAATAATCATCCAGAAGCTGCTTTCCTGCTGGCTTTCTTTTAAAAGTTTCAGAAGCTGCTGCAAGTGCTGAATGCAGGGTGCTTTAAAAAACAAAAACCAAATGCTGACAAGCCATAAGAATGCCAGCCAGGGAACTGAACAAACTCTTGTTTTATTGATCTGGCAAACAGCCCTCTAGGTCGCATGTTCACACTTCTCTCTGTGGAAATAGGAAACTGACCTTTTGTTTCAGAAGATGTATTTGAAAGTAGGCTAGGGAATTCTTAAGTTTTGTTACTTGGAGACCAGAAAAGAGCTCTTTCTTTCTCAGCCTTTCTGCTTCCTGGCAGCCGCACTCTAATGCTCCCCCTTCCTTGTAAAATGTATTTCTAGTTTCCATTGCCTTCACTTTTCTGTATTACATCACAGTTTTGTAAGTCTATGGAGTGCAATTCAGCACATTCTAAAGATTACAGTTACGCCACAGTGCGTTCAAAGGACACTGGGAGACCTCTTATATTTGCTGCTTGCAGAATAGAGTACGTGCTTTCCAGGATCAGAAAGGACTCATCCATGGGGTGCACGCAGTACCCAGCTTGAAAACCATTTAGCTGTCATTACTGTCCATGAAGAAGTGAGGGGTAAATAGCTTTGTGAGGTTGCTGAGAATTCTGGATTGGCAAACCTGAAGCCCTTCAGAATATAGGGCAGGCCTGGTAGAAGGGTTCAAACATCCATCTAGTTTGGCATCCTCCTTTCATGGGTGACAAACCAGTTATTTCCAGGAACTGTGTAAACTGGGTAATACTGAACAGCTGATCCATGTTCCTTGTCCCTAACATTCAGAGTTATAGCTTCTAGCTTGTTATTAGGTTAATTTCCATAAACATGTCTCTTTTCCTCCCTCTCTTTTTAAAAGCCCCCTAAGATAATGGATATTTCATTGTCTTTCTTTGGGAAACTATGATGTGTCTCTCATCTTTCATTAAGAGTTAGGAAGGCTTAACTTGGGGGTGGAGTGTATGCATACACACACACACACACATACGTGCATACATACATACATGTCTTCTTAAAGTACTGCATTTTGCCTGTTTTTTTTTTTAAACAGGTTAAGAGAGATGACTTGGAGAACCTGCCCTCCCACTTGTTGGGTCAGGATTCCCTTCTGTGCCCATAGCACTTGGGACACTGCTGGAAGCAGGAGGCGCAGGCTTATGGTGGCAGCGGGGGCAGGTCTGGGTGTATGCACCATCTTGGCTTATGGAAATCACCATCGGCAGGTGAGTGAGTGAAAGATGGGATGGCATAGTATGTCACCAAGGGAAGAATGGAACATGAAAGGCTTGAGGCTGTTGTGGGAGGAAGTTGTTGAAACTTTGCCTTGGTTGAGGCTTCTTAAATGCTTTGCTTCATAACTTTCTGATTTAAGAAAATGGACCCTATTTAAGGCTGACTGGCTCCATTACCGAACGGGCACAAAAGGTATGTTCCAGGCCATGTGCAGTCACCGTTATCCCATTCGTGGCCCCATAACGGATAGAGTCAAATATCTGCCCCCCCCCACGTTTTTTTTATTTTGCTGCTTAAAACTCCTGAAACTGCTTCCCTAAATGGGCCCTGGCACACCCTATTTTGGAGTGTGGCCCTTGACATTTCAAACCATGTCTGGTGTGGCTCTTGAGCTGAGAGAAGTTGTGCATCCCTGAGTACCGTTCCTTTCCTGATCGTCTCTCTTCTGGTTTTCTTGCAGGGAGCCAAGGCTGAGCTTCCAGTACCCACACCTACTCCCTCATTCCCTCGCTTTACCCGAGAAGAGGTGGCTCGCCATCATAATGAAGCTAATCGGGTGTGGGTGACTTATGGAAGTGAAGTTTTTGATGTCACTGATTTCTTAGAGCTACATCCTGGGGGCAGAAGTAAGATTCTTCTGGCAGCAGGGGGTGCTTTGGAACCATTTTGGGCTCTCTATGCCATGCACAAACAAGAGCATGTACAAGAGATCCTTCAGGAATATAAAGTGGGAGAGCTGAGCCCAGAAGAGCCTCCTCCGCCAAGCCCTGATGACCCTTATGCTAACGATCCTCCACGACACCCTGCCCTCCGAGTCAATACCTCCAAGCCCTTCAATGCAGAACCTCCTCCAGAGTTACTCTCAGAATATTTTCTGACTCCCAACCAGCTCTTCTTCAAGCGCAATCATCTTCCTGTGCCAGTTGTGGACCCTGAAACGTACCGCCTGTGTATTCAGAGTCCCTCTGGACAGACACTTTCCCTTTCTCTGCAAGACCTGAAAAAGAATTTTCAAAAGCATGAAGTCACAGCCACCCTACAGTGTGCTGGCAATCGTCGTGCAGAGATGAACACCATCCAGAATACCAACAGGCTTGGGTGGAGTGTTGGGGCTATTAGCAATGCCTGTTGGGGTGGTGCCCGGCTTCGGGATGTTCTGATACAAGCTGGGTATCAACCAGGTGATGAGGGGCATGTCTCCTTTGAGGGCCTGGACAAGGATCATAGTGGCACTGTGTATGGAGCCTCCATCCCATTTAAAAAAGCCATGAGTCCTGATGGGGATGTCTTGTTGGCTTATGAGATGAATGGGGAGGAGCTGCCTCGGGATCATGGGTTCCCACTCAGAGTTATTGTGCCAGGTGTAGTGGGGGCTCGTAATGTTAAATGGCTGGCCCGGATTACAGTGGGACCAGAGGAAAGCAAGAGTCACTGGCAGCAGAAGGATTACAAGGGATTCTCTCGTTCTGTAACCTGGGAGACAGTGGACTTCTCCAAGGCACCTGCCATTCAAGAGATGTCCATCCAGTCCGCCATCACCGAGCCATCTCCTGAGACCTCTGTCTCCCCTGGGGAGCTCACGGTGAAAGGCTATGCCTGGAGTGGTGGGGGGCAAAGGGTGATCCGTGTAGATGTTTCACTGGATGGTGGAAAAAGCTGGCAAGAGGCTACACTAACTGGGGAGGAGCAGTTGCCTGGCCGAGCCTGGGCTTGGAAGCTCTGGCAGCTGGACACTTCTGTGCCTGCTGGAACCAAGGAGTTGAACATTGTCTGCAAGGCTGTGGATACCAGCTACAATGTGCAACCTGAGCACGTGGGGCCGATCTGGAACATTTTGGGAGTGCTCAACAATGCTTGGCATCGGGTACATGTCTGCGTGGGAGAGAACTGAGAGGCCTGACTGTGCCTAAAAGCATGGAGGGCTATGGATCTTGGCTTCTCTACATTTATCTGCTGCTGCTGTGGGGACATTAGCCCATGCCCCTTTGAAGAAGCCAAGAAGAAGAGCTGAGTCCTTGAGTGGGAGTCTTGTGACTTCTGGCCTTCATTCCTCATTCCCTGTACAACTCCTGAATGTAGCAGTTTTAGGACTAGGGTGCTTCTCTTTCTAAGGATGTGGTGGTCTCAGAGGCAAGTGTTGATGACTCTCCTTCACTTAGCTTTCTCCTTAACTGAGATCCACTTTCCTCAGGAATCTTAAATTGTAGCTTTTATAGTCTTCAGAATTTTTTTCAGTTGTCAAAGTTACCTACTTGTTTGCTGTCTGGAGATCTTTTTTAATACCCCCTCCAAAGATAGAGATTTATTAAAGGTATTTGATCACTTAACACTAAATACCCCATCATTTTAGGAACATGGCCAACTTTATTATCTTGCTTTCTCTTTTCAGTGGGGTGCCCACTTCAATCTTACCATATTTAATGTCTTTAGCTGTTTTATGGGAGAACTTGAGTAGCTGATATTTCTCCCACTTTAACGCTGAGCAGTATCAGAAACTGTTAGCATTCACCTTTAAAGACTTGGGAACCTTGCCCCACATCAAGTCTGGCACCCCACTGAAAGGAGAAAGCAAGATAATAAAGTTGGCCATGTTCTTGTTGCATGAATGCACTTAGACCACCTCTTCTCTTAAGCTATCATTCTGGACAGATTTTGCTGTCCCCTAGAATCCATAATACTGGGGTAAGAAACCTGATGCTCCCAGCTGCTTTGATCTACTGCTCTCAAGCAACACAGACTTGCTTATGTCTGACTTAGTGGTTTCTCTTTTGTATTTCAAATGTTTCTGTGTTGTAACCACAGAATAGGATTCTTGAACCATTGGAAGACTGGGAAGAAGAGCAGATTTCATCAGTTGTTATCCTCACGGGAATTCTTCGTGTCTGGGGATCTACCCCTGTTCTTTATCTGTGGAGAAGGGTCTTGACATGCACTTTGAGAAATGTTTTAAATTAAGTCTCCTGAGCCAGCAGGTTTCAGAGAGAGAAAGGCTCAAGAAGAGAAACTGCCATGTACGGGGATCCTGTTCTGTGAAAACAGCCAGGCAAGCAGGGAGCCTTCTGGTAGGAAAAGCGATCTCTTTCTTTGAATGGCCTGAGCTTCACAGAGGGGCTCATGTTGCCACAAGAATTGCAGCTTCTGGTGGTAGCAGGTATTTAATTTTTCTTCCAGGCCATTCTGGGATCCATTTTCGTTTTTGTACAGAGAAGTCTCTGTGCCCTTTTGAGCATGTTGTGCCTTCCTGACACCCTTCTTGATACCCATGATACATCCTATTAATAATAGTATAGATTAGGCCCAATTGAAATTCAGAAGTGAATTATTTAAGATCCTAGATCAGTAAAAAAAAATATGTTTGACTGCCACCTAAAAAATAGTAAGTGCCAGATTAACTGCCCTTGGAGAACAGCCTACAGGTGGAATGCCACCAAGAGAAAACTCTTCCCTGCTTGTAACCCATTAGTTATTTGGCACTAGCACCTTGAGAAGCTCTAGCCATGATTTTTGGGAATAGCCAGACGGGGGGATGTCAGAGACTCTTCAGCTGCCCCAAATCTAAGATATTAAGCTCAGTATCTCAGCACACTGAATTGTATCTAGAAAGGGACAGAAAGCCCATGGAATTCACATAAGGTGCTAAACCATAGTTTAATCATGACTTAATAAACCATAATTGGTCCTGTATGACTCATGAAACTGTGAACCCTATTTTATAACCATTAGTGGCTGGGTTCACGCAACATTCTAGTCCAAACACAAGCAAACCTCACAATAGCTTAGCATGTCATTTGAACCTGGACCAAGTTCCTTCTTGCCACCCAAAATTGAATTTTTGTTACATTACTCTTTGCTTCTTGCAGATCAGGGCCATCCTGCTTGAGAGCAGTAGATTAAAACAGCTGGGGAGCGGGATAGATTTCCTGCAGGCGGTTATGCAGAAGCTCTTCTGCAAGATTGCTTTGTTGCTCAGGACATCAGTTCAAGCAGGCAGCTGGATTGATTCCTTAAGGTTGACTTAGGAGCTTGTTTGCAGTTCACCTGAATGTTGGCACTGCTATATCAATCCTCAGCATGAGAGTTGGTGGTAGTGAAAGTGGTCGATGTAGAGAAAGCATTTCTGTGGATGTATTCAGCGTGGCCCAGGATTGTCTTCGCATCTTTGATAGGCTAAAGCAAAAGAGAGAATGAAAAAGTATCAGATGAAAGTTCTCCTGTAACACTTCCTAAGCTCCGGAATCCAATTTTGAATGAACCCCCCATCCTACCATAAAAAAGACATTTGTGTGCCTTTTTCACCCTTGTTTCTTAAAAATACCATTTGCTTCCCCGTGTTGGAAGGAGTAGGAAATGAATTTATTTTAGTAATGCTCTCACCCTCTTGTTGGGGACTTGTAGAGATTGTAGGGCTAGGTAGATCTTCCCCACTGCCACCATACTATAGCACTTCATAAGGGGGAAAGCTATCAGGAATTGTTTTACTTTTGCTGAGGTAACTACATTTTACGGGTAATTCCAACAAATTATTCTGTTTGGTTAGACCCTGGATCCTGTTAACTCTAGGAACACCAATGGTGGGGAATGGACCTTTCAGTTATTCAGCAACAGAAGCTGACTCCCAGGTTGGCTGATGTTGGATCATGATGTCTATCACCCTCAAGCAAAAATTAAGTGGCCAGAAATGGTAGAACATAGATCAATTCCTCAAGTGGTGCTGGGTTGAGAAGGCTGGGTTGATATGGCATCATGATTCAAGCAAAGCCCAAGCGTTATTTTTGGAAGCCCAGTACACACTTATCAAACTTATCCAAGAGCCAACATGCATGGAATCTCCTGAGTCAAAATTCTGATTTTGAAATGAGGAACTTGGTATTTGTTTTCATCATTAATTGAGACCAATCCAAGTTAAGTTTTTCCATACTCTGGCTGAAGTTATTGTCTCCTGAAAAACTGGAAGACTGATGTTAGCTTTTTTCTTAGTTTCCTTTGTTTATGTTTCCAGCTTCCTTGATTGTATTTATAGCATCATAAATAAGGTGAATGTTTGTGAGATTCCATTGTGAAGACTGGACTCCCAACCATGATCCTCCCTCTGGGCTTGATCTGGACCAGTATTCTGTGTTTCAGAGAAGGGCCTGGGCCAGCAATTACTGACTCTAGACAGTTTCACAAAACCTGGACAATACATATACTGAGATACAAAGAAATACATGACAAATGGATACATAACTGAACCTAATGTTTTCTGCTATGATAATGTGGCTACAGCACAGACTTCCCCTTCCTGATCTGACCTAGCGAGTATACTCCTCTCCTATAAGCATGCTTGATCATAGCCAGGGGGGAAACTACAAGAAGTTGTTTCAGGACCTTAAAGAGTCCAAGAAAGAAGGGAGCTGCCCTTTTATTTTCTCCTGCCTGGTGCAGATTTTTTTAAAGATTTTTTTTTATTCCCCCTTTATTGTTTTTATAAATAACTTGAGGCAGCAAACATACCTAATACTCCCTCCTCCTATTTTCCCCACAACAACCACCCTGTGAGGTGAGTTGGGCTGAGAGAGGGACTGGCCCAAAGTCACCCAGCCAGCTTTCATGCTAAGGGGGGACTAGAACTCACAGTCTCCTGCTTTCTAGCCTGGTGCCTTCACCACTAGACCAAACTGGCTCTCTCAGTTCCATTGTCCTCATAGCCAGTGGGGGAGCCCCAGGATCAAACCGGTACAGTCAAGGAACTGGGTTAAAGGAGAGGAAAAAACTGCTCCATATTCCCGAAATGATGTCAAAGGGGAAGTCATTTCCATATACGCCCTGGGCTATTCTCTCAAGTGGATGTTTTGTTGCCCAAGGAGGTTGAGTTAGTTAGCCATAAAGAATGAACAACAGTATCAGGGATGAGTAACTCGGTGCCCTTCATGTGATATGAGAATTACAGTTCTCATAATCTCTTTAGCCTTCACTGGTGTTGGAAGGACATCAGGTGGGCTATGGAATCTAACTGGAAGGCTGTCTAGACTGCTGGCTATGAAGGGGCCAAGTGCCTTGTCTAGTTACTAGGGCTGAGCCTTTCCCAAGATGATACTTTGGTTGTCCTCTTGGCTGGGGATGTTGAAAGTTGTTCTCCAATACATTTTTCACGTTGAAAAGAGACTTCAGGAAGTGTGACCACATCTATAAGCAAACAGGACTATTTTCTGTTAGTTGGTATTAAGGATTACAGAGAATTGGTGGCATGCAAAACATTTGTGGTGAGAGCCTGTAGTTATATCAAGTTGTGTTGATGGATTTAATTAGCTAGACTCTACCTCTGGTTGTAGCACATGCAATTTTATCAGACGGAGCTT